CTCTCTCTCTCTCTCTCTCTCTCTCTCTCTCTCTCTCTCTCTCTCTCTCTCTTTTCTCCTGGGTGGGTATCTTTCTTATGTCTACTAGAACTTGAAGAACCATTTTTGCTAAAATCATGACAACTCCGCAGTGGGGTTTTCAGTAAGGTTGGATTCTTCTTGGTTTCTGGATGGGGACAATGAAGACTAAGGTAGGACAACTGTCCCCAGAAGGAGATGAGAATGGGGACAGCAGGGGTCAGGTTACCTAGATATGGACCTGACGCCACTCCACACAGAAGGCCAAGATGCCCAGATGAACTCATCCTTATGCAACTCCTGAACCTGAACCCTAGACTCTCCTGCAAACACATTTCTAACTGGTTATTTTAGGAAGAGATCATCTAAACTGCATCTAAATTTTCCCACTTGCTGAAGGAAAGCTGCAGGGAGGACCTAAGTTGGAAAGATTGGATGGGGAGGAGTTTCCTATACTCAGCAGTGTGGGTGGTCATTGATCAACCTTCAATCTCTTCTCTCCACAGGTTCTCCATTTCCAACATGGTTGTTTTCATAGTCTGTGGACTCCTCATTAAGACTCTTATCTTCACTGTCTTCTTTGCTGTCACATGGAGGTCATTTGGAGGACAGACAATGACGACACAACGGTGACTTATGACTTTCAGCCATGTCTATCTCACAGGAGGAGCTGGAGGTGGGTGAGGCTAAGGAGAGACTGTGACAGAATTGAGCCTGTAATCATGGGTGACATCTAAGTCTCAGAATGTCCCCTGCTGGCCCTGCCCTTTTTCACAGTCCACGATCTTCTTGGGTATGTGCTCTGTACCCTCAGAAGACAGGAACCAATGCCCAGCACCTCTGGCCATTCTGCCTGAATAGATGAGTTGGACTCAAATAAGACATCCCTGTGCTCCTCCCTGTAACCTTTCATGGGAGACATGAGATTTAGGGGTGACCGCTGCTATTCCAGCCCCTTGTCCTTGCCTTAAGGAGTGCAAATCTAGCCACCTGGGCAGGCCCTTGCTTATGAAGCAGCCTGCTCTCCCAGCATCTAGGGCCTTCCTCTCTGGGAATCAACACTCAGATTTGTCTTCCTCTGTGGTCCTCTGAACACTCCCAACCATCTTGACCAAGATGACAAGATCCCTTCTTGAGGATTATGGAACTGGGAGAGAGAAATCAAGTTAAGCTGAATGCTGTTGTCTGGGAAACTCTTGGAGGAGGAGATGGCGTCCGGACGATGGGATCAGGACATGCACCAACATGCTGTGTGCATTTTATCATTGAATCTTCAGTGCCACGCATGACAGCCAGTGTGTGTGTGTGACCACATGAGGCCACAGGAATAGCAGGCCACCACCTCCTGGTGGGAATGAGGTCTAGAGAGTCCCCTACTGAAGGGCTCCTCAGTTGAGATTCCCTACTCCCAGATATTCCCAGATTTATGTCAAGTTAGTAAAAACCAACATACACAGGGACCAAACTTTTGGTTTCTGTGCTCTCATCCTCTCTTTTTAAAATGTTTGTAGATTTATTTGCTTTATTATGCATAAGGTGCATTTATATACATTATGTGCATGTTTGGTACCCCTGAAGATGGTGCCAGAGAGTGATGTGGGTTATTTGTACACTCTGTGAATGTGTATTGCTTTGCTATGATTCATGTAATAAAAAGCTCAATACCCAATAGCTAGGCAGGAGGTATAAACAGAACTGCCAGGAATTAGAAAAAGGAAGTGTGGTTGTTTGGGGTTTTGTTTCTTGGGTTTTTTTTTTTTACACTTTTGCTCTTTGGGGACCTACTGTCAAGCTCCAAAATACTCACAAGGTAGTTTATTCTTACTTATGAATACCAGAACTTAGCTTGCCATGCTTCTTGGCAGGTTTTCTTAAATCATACCATATATATTTTGTCTCTGGGCTTTTACCATTTTCTATGTCTGTATATCATTTCTTTCTCTCTTATTCTTTGTCTTACTGTGGTGCTGGGTGAGTGACCCCTTGCTTTGTTTTTTCTTCTTTTTCTCCTTCTATTTATTCTCTCTGTCCGGCATTCCCGCCTGTACCTTTCCTGACTAGCTATTAAGATCTTTATTAGACCAAACTAGTGTTTTAGACAGCTTCACAGAGTTAAACAAATGCAACATAAAAGAATGCAACACATCTTTGCATCATTAAAACAAATATTTCACAGTATAAACAAATGCAACACATCTTCAACTTATATTCCACAAGAGAGGAGAATTGAGTTGTATGGAAGATGTTAAGGAGACACAGAGAGAAAACACAAGGTACAATATGGAAGAGAAGTAATGCCACATTATAAAACGTAGATTAATATCAATGAGTTCATTTAAGCTATAAGAACTATTTGAGACAAGTATAAACTAAAAGCCAAGTTTTCAGAATTAATAAGAAGTTCCCATGTCATTATTTGGGAGCTGACTGACAGAACAGCTGGCACTGGACTTGCAGAGAGTTGTAAGTCCCCTTGGGGATGCTGGAAACCAAAATCAGGTCCTCAGCCAGAGCAACAGTGCTCTAACCACTGAGCCAACTCTCCAGCCCAGCAACATGAACCCTTTTCTCCTTCATGTTGAGGGTATGAAACAAACTCAGGTGTTGTCTATGATAAGGAAATATTCTGCCTCTGAGGGCACCCCAACCCTTGTTTTATTTTCAATTTTATTTTCAATTATGTGCATCCAGAAGACAGAGGAATCTATGCCTGTGAGTGCAGGAGCCTGAGGAATCCAGAAGAGGGCACTGGGTCCTGGAGCTGGGGGACAGACACGAGTTCTTGAGATGAACTTGAGTCCTCTGTGAGATCAGTTCTCTCTTAACCATATAACCATCTCTTCAGAACCCAATATCTGGGTTGTATCAGGGCAGGGTTGTTTGGTTTGTTGGTCTAATACTTGTATTTTATTGGGGGGGGTTGTTTTGGTTATTCTTGTTTTTGTTTGGTTGTTTGGTTGGTTTGGTTTGAGGTTTTTTTTGTTTTTTGTTTTTGTTTTTTTTTTTTTTTTTTGGTTATTTTGAGAAAGGATCTCACTATGTGGCCCAAGCTGGCCTTAAAACCACAATACTCCTGCCTCAGCATACCCTGTGTGGGGATTACACAATCTCAGCTTGTGGCCTCCCTCTCTTAACAGCTAGATTTTATTTTTAAAATGATGAGATCCCCTTTAAGAACAAATAATCACTAAAGATGTCATACCTCCCTTACTAGATCTGTATGGAGAAAAGAGATTGGCATTTTAAGTAAAAAACTAGAATTTTCATGTAGCCAAGGATGACTTTGAACTTCAGATCCTCCCACTTCCTGAATGTGCAATTGCAGGTGTGTGCCACCATGCCAAGTTTATGTGGCCCTGGAGTTTGAACCCAGACACTTCCTGCATGCTAGGCAAGTCGTCTACCGATTGATCTATGTCTCCACTATGATTTTACATTGAATATTAATATCTCATATTTATTGAGCACCAAACTTTTCCCTACAGTATCTCATGAATCCTCACAAGGATTTTGCAAGGTAGGTGCTGTCTCTACCTGCAGTTTTGTGGATGACAGAGAGAAACTCAGAAGGCCTGAGTGCTCACGGGTGTGCTCACAGGTGTGCTCACAGGTGTGCTCACAGGTGTGCTCACAGGTGTGCTCACAGGAGTGCTCACAGGTGTGCTCACAGTTGTGCTCACAGTGTGCTCACAGGTGTGCTCCTCCTGTGTGAACTGGCTCAAAATGTTTTCAGTCACAGTAGCATGGTTACCTGGAATTGACATTCTGTTTGGGTTTGGTTTCCTCCTTGATGCTATGGTAAAAGATACAAAAAAAAAATGAATTTAAGGGGACACAGGGTTTGTTTAGGCTCATAGTTCCAGAAGGGTGCAATCATCTCAACAGGAAAGACACATTGGCAGGTGCATGAGGCTGAAGGTCACACTGTATCCACATCCAAGAAGCAGGTAAGGAACACAAGGTGGGACCCAACTATAAAACCTCCAAGCCTGACTCCAGTAACCCAGTTTCTCTGAAGAAACTCCAACCCGCAAAGATTCCTCAAGGATCCCAAATGTGAATCGTCTGTGCCCATCACAGACAGTCCCAGGATGAAGAGAAACTGGGGAGCAGGGTCTCCGGAGGCAGGGGCCCTCCAAGCATTCCTGTCAGATTAGAAGAGTGGGCTGCCTGTCACATGATCCCTGAAAAGCCCATTCTTTTAAGGGGGAGGGGATGATGGACAGGACAAGAAATGTGACTGACTTTATCATGATGTGCGTTTTGGCTTTATGGAGTTGGGTTAGGCCCAATATTAAAATATTGTTTAAAATATTCTAAATGTTATATTTATTTCACAAGTAATTACTGAACATATGCATATCAATCCTTCAAACTAGCATTTCAAGTGTTGGTCGAAAGGTACAGTTTTATTTAGACAGATGGATGTGGTCCTGTGGCTTCCTACCCACTGTGACCCTAGCTCTGTTGATATGACGCCCTCTGCTGGCCTCTATGGGCATCTACAGTCTCATGCACATCCCCACACACAACTGCACACATACGTACATATAAACAAAAAGTAAATATAAACTTTCATATATATTCATATCACTCCAGGAATGGCTGACATTAATTCTGAATTCAAGTGCTCAAAGAGGCCTCTGGATCTAAAAGTCCAGTCCTGCTTTCCCACCAGGACTCCTTGAGCACCCACCTGATGTCCTTGAGATGGCCTTCTTTTGTCCATTCCTTTGCCCTTTCTCTGTCACTCTGCTGCAGGGAGGGGGACATTGCAGTAAACTTAGAGGCAAATGATCTCACAAGGTCCAATTGCCTACTCAAGTCCCCACTCCCTAACAGATGGATTGACAGCGCCCTTTGTGGTTTAAACGGGAATTACACACAGCCTCACCAAACCTAAAACTAACACCAAGCTCCTTGTTTTTTGTCAGTTGTTTTTTGGTGTGTGTGTGTGTGTGTGTGTGTGTGTGTGTGTGTGTGTGTGTGTGCCTGCATGTCTGCCTGCCTGCCTGCCTGCCTGTCTGTCTGTCTGTCTGTCTTTCTGTTTTGTTATTGTTCTGAGACAGATTCTCATGTAGCCCATGCTGGTCTCAAATTAGTTATGCATCCAAGGCTGCTGTTTCTGCCTCCACCTCCCAAGTGGTGAGACTGTAAACCTGCACTGCCCTGCCAGGTTAAATTCATGGCTTCCTGCGTGCTCGGCAGACACTCTGCTGACTGCACCCTCCCCCACTTCTGTAAATCACATCCTTTTTAAAAATTAAATTGATAATATTAAAAATAAAAAAAGACTCGAGTCTTTCTTCTACTTAGGTTTACATCTCTGGGGTCTTCAAGTGGCCCAGTGGATTATGTGAAGATGAGCCCAACCCCAGTCCTGGGTCCCCTCTGCCCCATCCTCCCACTGTCCCCTCTGAGAATCCCCCTCCTCAGGACACTCCCCAGTGCCCTCACCTTTTCCAGGATCACTACCTACACATCTCTGCTGGGAATGAATCTATGTGTACCCTCTGCTCTCACTCCCCAATGCTCACAAATTCCCAGGGTGGAAGCATGATGCTGACCCACAGACAGCCTGGCCATGACGTCTCTGGTCACCCCTGGGATCGCTGACCCACCAGAGAGCCTGACTATGGAGTCTCTGATCACCCCTAGAACCAGTGAGCCTTGGGGTGCATGATCAGACCTCATAGTTCCTGGCTTTCATAGTTCAGTTCTAGAGGCGGGCAGGCTGGGGCCTGCAAAAAGGAGGCAGCAGGAAGAGAGGACATGAGAAGGCCAGGGGCTTGACCACAGTTTCCCTGGCCTAGAAGTGCCTCCCCTAGTGGAATCCAGCACAGGGTAGCTGGGCACAAGAGAGAGCAAACACCTTCTGCAGAGGCTGGGACCTGAGCGGTACAGGAGGAGCCCTCCCGGACAGACCGATGGCCGCAGCTGAGGATCCCAAGCCCTCCACAGTCCCTTCAGTTCTCTCTCCACCTGTCCCCCGGGCTCCCCCAGCAGCTGCAGGAAAAGGGACTCATGGCCAGGAGGTGTCCACTCTCCCTTCTGCTGCTGCTATTGCTGATGTTCCAAGGTGAGGAGGAGACAAGGGAACTATTATGTGTGTGGTGGGGGGTACGGCTGCCAGAGGCCTGGTGTGCAGCAAATGCTATGCACGCCCTTGACCTTGTTCTCCAGGTCACACTCAGAGAGGCCAGTAGTTCAAAGAGTGGCAGGGCAGACATCCTCTGTGACTCCTGGTGCCCACTCACGAGCAGAACAGACATTCTATGTGACTCCCGGTTCCCACCCATGATCAGGGTAGATGTTCTCTGAACTCTTGATACCCACCCATGAGCAAGGCAGACATTATATGTGACTCCCGGTACCCACCCATGAGCAAGGCCTGTAGGAGGAGAAGTTGGTGACAGGAGAGATCAGCTTTTATAGACATCAGGTTAATCAGCAGCTCCAGCCCCCAATGACCCCTGTGCTGGCTTCTTTGTTGTAACCAATACAGTGTGTGAAGGAGGAGGGCTCCATGCGCTACTGGTCACCATACACCATGGTTCTGGCAGCTCTAAAACCCTGACCTCCAAATTCAGTGTGGTGGTTTCTCTGGGTGGGCCCCATTCCATAGCCTCCGGGGAAGGTTCTTTGCTTCCGTTTGGCTGCTTCATCATATACTCACTGTCGGGGTGTGCCTGGAGTGCTGGACCTAGTGTCACATGGAGAGGGAGCTTCTCCAACAGAAAACAGGGGTGGGGGCAAGAGGGGGCCTCAGTCACTATGGAGGCAGCAATCTTGATGTCTTGAGCCCCGTAGGGCCATTGTGAACTACCTTTGTCTTCACTGATGGGGGTTTGAGGACGTGCTGGAGGAGAGGTGACAGTGAGCTGCTGCCTTCTGCCTGCTGACTCTTCCATGACTCCACTGTCTCCTTTTCTATTCCCACAGCCCATCCCCAAGAGGGGGCATCTACCTGGAGGGAGCGTTGTGAGGTCACCCATCAGGTAACCTCAGTGCTTCTGTCTGCCAATGGAAGCTGCGGCCAGGTGGGGACCTGGTCCTGACTCTCTCCTGTCCTGCTTCCTCAGGTCCCAGGAGACTTACCTCACAACAGTGGTAGTGCTGACATTCCTTCTGGCGTCTGTGGTGTTGGTGATGGTCTATGGCTGTTGGAAGAAGCAGCACATGGGAAGTAAGTACGGTCACCCCTGGAAACCATGGTCAAGATCTGTGTCCTACTCTGAGGATTGTGACACTGAGTCTTAGGCTGGGGAATATACCTCTGCCTGTGCAACTTAATGATGGTCAGTGACATCCAGGGAGGACGAGGGTGTCCAGGCATGGGTGGTCCCACATGTACCTTATGGATATAGAGAAACAATACAGAGGCCAGAGAGGGTTAAAGGTCACCCAGGGGCATTGGGGCACTGGCAGCAGGGCATGGCCTTTCTTCATCTCTCCCCATGTGTTGTAGGCTATAGCTTGGGCAGCGACTTTGCTAAACCCTGGATACATCTTCCTGAAGGTCCAGAGTCACTGTGGAAGCCTGCTTGGTCTAAGATAACTCAGTGATCTGGAGAGCTGATGCCAATGGACTCAGAGGCCAGAGAGGACCGAAGCCCAGACAATGGCCCTGGGGCAGGAGCACAGTACAGCTGCCTTCCTTTCACCCAGGGCCACCATGTCCTTCCTCAGCTTCTCTCTGTTCCCTGCAGACGTCTCCATATGTCTGGAGACAAGAGCCAGACTCATGAGCCCTCGGGCAGCCGGTGTCTGTAGAATCCTGTTCTGGATGAGAAGGGACAGACACAAAGACCTGGGATCACAGAGGAACTGGTACCAGGAGGTCCCAGAGCTGACCAGGACCCTGTGTCTTCTGATGTGTCCTGACTGTGGCTGCTGGTCCCCTCTGTCCTGGAAGCATGAAGTTTACAGATGTCACTTGGTTCCTGCCTGCCAGCCTCTCTCAGGTCAGCAAGAGACCAGTTACAGCCTTTCCCAAGATGGCTGCAAGGCTGTGCTCCCTGCCTCCAGTTGCTTCTTCCATGCTACAGTGATGAGTTCATGCAGAAGATTGAGTATACAGACTACACCTTGGGGTATCTGGAACCCTATCTTGAGGTCCCCTCCTTCAGGGACTGTGCTGGCCTCAGAGCAAAGCAAGGTCGCTTCTGAGGAAAGACCACATGAAGTTGCCATGCTTAAAACAGCAGAGGATGAGGGACTTAGCTTTGGAGAATTGACACCAGATCCTAGGCTAGAAAGATGGGCAGACACATGGACACAAAGACGCAGGTACACACCACACATACAACACACACGTAAACACAGGCACACACATACAAAAGGAGACATGGAGAGAGATCTCCTTCTGGCCATCAAAACCCTGCTAGGAGTAACCTTAGCTGAGCAACAGGACCATTTCTCCAGACAGGAGTGGAGACAACAGAGCCCAAGGATCGAATTTGCATCCTCTACCCAGCTCAGACTGGGCCTATACTATCAAAATCATTGGTCCAGAATGAGCAAGGAGAGCTGAGGGTTGTGGGCTATGGATTGTGTAGGGTTTAGGGGTTATGGGCTGTGGGCTGTGGGCTGAGCTGTCACCCTACTAGTGGTGCACACTAGGCCATAGTGGCTTGAAAGGTCCCTGAACTAAACATCTACACCCTCAGCTCTGAGTCAGGGTCTGCTAATGGGACAGCAAACATCACAGTCAGGAGGGTGACACAGCTGGGGCCTGGGTCACAGTCCAGGACGGCTTTAAGGAGAGAGGAGGAACCATTGGTGTAAACGTGGGGACAGAAGGGAATAACTTCCAGTAGAGCGTGAGAGAGGGGGACTCAGGCTGAGCAGCTGACAAATGAAGAACTAGAAGGAAGGACAGACAGACACATCCACACCGACACACAAGCAAACTGTGTGGTCACCACATTAGTGGGAAATTGGGGCGATTGACTCAGACCACCCCCAGAGTTCCACCTCCATTTCTGTCCCTGCACCTTCATTGGCCCTGACAGTCCTGTTTCACGGACAGCAGATGGACAGACAGTCAGGCAGCAATCCCTGTGTAACCCTGGTCAAGCCACTAACACTATGAGGCCTCGGTTTACCCTGTCTTATGAAAGGGGACAATAATTCCTACCTCTAAAGAGTGTTTGGGGGGATTCAATGAAATGATGTAAACACAGTGCAACCCTGAGAGCGTCTCCTGACTACTTTCCTGATGTTCATTCCTGTTCCACTGTTCATTTGGAACTGAGTTTTGCTTCAGTGTCTGCTCAGCTGCTGTGACTAAAAGACTCTGACGAGGGGCTGGAAAGATGGACCCGTGGTTAACATGCTTATTACTCCTGCAAGGACCCAGGTTCAGTTTTCAGCACCCACACCGGGCAGCTCATAGCTGCCTGTAACTCCAGTTCCAGGGAATCTGATGCCCTGGCCTCCTCGGGCATATGGTGCATATGAACTATTACAGATACACACAAATACACCCAATCAAAAAATCTTTAAAAAAACAATAAAACTCAAACACTCTGGCCAAAAACAATCTAGGCAGTAAAGGACATATGTGCCATATGCTTCCCTGCCACAGTCTGTCCTTGAAGGAAGTCAGGACAGGAACTCAGGCAGGGACTGAAGCAGAGACCATGGAGGAATGCAGTCTGCTGCCTTGTCTGCTCACAGGCCTGTGCTTAGTTAGCTTTCTTACACAGCGCAGGACCCCTTGCCCAGGGAATGGTGTCTCCCACAGTGGACTGACGCTCCTATTTCAGCTAACAACAAGACAATTTCCCAGAGACATATCCGCAGGCCCCTCTGATCAGGGTGATTCTTCAACTGAGGCACCTTCTCTGGAGACTCTAGGCTGTGTCAAGTTGACATTTGAAGCTATCTGTCAAATTTCTTGCTCTTACCTTGTCTCCTCCCCTTCTAGGCTCACACATGGACGGTGCAGCTCTGTGCTGGTGGCTGCATCCATTCTTTTTCAGTTGCTGTGATAAACACCATTGTTGGGAACTGCCTGGTCCTAGGCTTTCCCTTGGGCCCTGAAGTATGGGGAAGGAATTGGTTTCTTGTCTAAAATCAGGAACATGCAGGGCAATGCCAGTAATAGCCTGGGGCCAGGGCCTTGGAGAAGCTGTGGTTTCAGACCCTAGGAGCCCAACTCTTCCCCACTAGGGGCTGTGGTTATCAGTCTCAAGGTCCATGTGCTCTGTCTGTGATGCACCTGCAATTTCTGTGTTCCTTTCCTACAACAATGCCTGATTAGCCTCCTGCTGACTCCATCCCAGTGCATGGTAACTCTGTGCTGACCACTCCCATTTCCCCTCTGCAAACCGTGTACAATAATTCACAGGACATAAGTTATCTTCTTATGCACGATCTCCTGGTCCCAGCTCTCCTATTTTCTATCTCTCTCTCATTCCTGGCCCACTGTCTCAGGAACCTCTACTGCAATCTTCTGGTCCAGGTCACACCATGACCAGTGCAACGTATAAAAGGAAGGGTTTATTTGTACTTAGGGTTCTAGAGGGTTGAGTCCACTGACAAAGAAGCATGGCAGCCTGCAGCAGGATGCTCCAAGATCACATTTGGTCCACAAGCAGGAAGCAGAAAGTGTGAACTCAGAGTAAGCCTTTGACCCTCAAAACCCATTCCCTCTGACAAACTTCCTCCAACAAGGCCACACCTCCTAAAATCAGCACTCCCAGCTGGGTACCAAGTGTTCAAATGCCTGAGGCTATAGGGGACATCTTATTAAACCACAACAGTGGCCTTGAGACCTGCTTGTGAATAGTTAATGTACTTGGTAAGGCAGTGGTACCGAAATCAAGCCCTGAGTTCAAATCCCCAGTGTGGCCCTTCATCTCCCTGTGACCACAGTGAGTCACTGTCCCTCTGCTGGACAGGAGGATGGTGAAGGCTGAAGCCCCTGTATTCCACCTTCTATGGTAAAGGCACATGCATGTTGGAACATGAGCTCAACTCAACAGTTGGAGAGGCAGGGCAGCAGAGAAAGGAAGCCAGACAGTTCTGACCTCACTTTGACAGTGACTGAGGGAAGCAAAGGCATTGTGTAGTTGCACACACAATAGACACAGGCAGGGGCAGACGCTATGGTGCAGGAGGTGGGACAGGCTTGCATCTTTCAGGAAGCAGGGCATGGAGATCCTGCAAGCTCAGGATGCTGTGGTTGGTGGTTTTGTACTCTTCACTCCTTTACTCTCTCCGGGGGGAGGGGGGCACCACCTGGCTCCCAGATGATCACATGGAGTCTTATTCTTTCTTCTTCATTCCTAGCCTTACTTTGGCTTCATTTTGGCCAGCTTTTCTTAACTTAAATTATCCCATCTACCATTTGCCTCAGGGCTTTTACCTTCCTCTATTTCTGTTTATCTTTTGTTTCCTTCTTACTCCAAGGCTGGCTGTGTAGCTGGGTGGCTGACCCCTGATGTCCTCCTTTTCTTTTCCGTACCTCGATCTTCTCTCTCCAGATTTCTCTTCCTATTTATTTTCTCTGCCTAACAACCCCAACTATCCTTTCTCCTGCCTGATTGTTCAGCTCTTTATCAGACCAACTGGTTGTTTTAGACAGGCAAAATAACACGGCTTCATGGAGTCAATGCGACATAAAAGAATGCCACGCACCTTTGCCTCATTAAACAAATGTTCCACAGCATTAACAGATGAAATACAGATTAAAATAATATTCCACAACACGAAGCTTGGTCAGGATGCATGGAGGGGTTTGCTATGTGAAGCCAGGAGGACAGGCTGGAGGAAGAAGATGTGTGATGCCTTCAGGAGGGAGGGGATGGGTGACACCTGCAGGGGGCTTTAGGGGTGCGGGTAAGAAGACAGCTCAGGCTGATGCACCTTCAGAAGGCTGCCCCAGAGAGAGCTTCACAGACAGAAGGGGCCAGGGACAGGACACAGCTAGCGGGTGAGTGGAATTATCACTGAGAGAGAGGTTAAACAGGAGAGTGAGGGAGTGACTCCCCACACATGACATCAGGCCGGGGGTTCTATAAGCCAGCAAAACATGAGAGCTGGTACTCTAATGCCTGCTCACTTGGGAACTCCATGGTAGGAGCACTGGGAACTGAGGAGTGGCTGTAGACACCCGTCTCCTCAGCTCCCATGGCCTGCATGGCTTCTGAGGCTCTTCTCTCAGAACCCCAGGCCAGTCTCTTCCTCTGTCCTCTCCTTTCTGGTGTTCTTTCTGGTGTTCAGGGGACTCAGAACCAAAGAAGATGGGGGCTGGAGGTGGTATACAGCAGGAGTGCCAGACAGGTCAGGAATGCACCTGCCTTGGAGAGATAACCACTTCCTAAGCCAAGTACGGTAGAGACTGGAATCCCCTGCACAAAGCTCACTGTTTTGACCAGAAGGAGCAGGTGAAGTAACCCTAGACCACAGTTGTGTGCGCTCCAAACTGTTCACTGCCTGGCTGCAGATGCATGCCTGCTCTGTTTACAGTGATGCAAGCTGCCAGGTCTGCACTCAGCATCCTTGGACTTCTTACTCCATGCTGGGAGGGGTGAGGAGGAGATGTCACCTCAGCGAGCAGTTCAGCTGCTGAAAGCCACCTTCCCATGGCCCACGTTCCTCCTAGACACCCTGCCTCACCACTGACTGACACTGCTCTCTAAAGTCTTAGCACCCTGTGCCAGCTTGGTCAAAGGCTTCCCCTGCCTCTCAGACCTCCTCACACGGGGTCTGGGCTTCCTCACTGCATGTAGAGCCGCACACATCTGTTACTTTCCTCCCCAGAGTCCTTCTCAAGTCCTGTGTCATCTGGGTCACCCCTGGTCCCCTGGCACCCCAGCTGCTACACAACATTGTCATTTAAAGGAGCTTCCCTGTCCCTATAGTATTTTAATTTTTTGTTTTGTTGTTTATTTTGAGACAGAGTCTCATGTAGTCCAGAGTGAACTGTTATGTAGCCAAGGATGAACTTGACCACACCACCAGCCTCCACCTCCCAAGGTCTAGGATTAGCGTCACACACCAGCATGCCTGGTTCTCTGCTTGCTCATCTGCTGACTATGAACAGCCTATAGCTAGTGACTTCTTGGAGCTCATGTAATAACATTTTATTTATTTACTTTAAGTTTTCACGCATGTAGAAGTCAGAGAAGACCTTTTGGAAGTTGATTCTCTCCTTCTGCCATATGGGCCATGGAGATCAAACCCAGGTTATCAGTCTTGGTAGCAAGTGTCCTGCCTGCTGAGCCGTCTTGCTGTCCTGTGACAGTTACTTTTGAAATATGTTTGATGAGTACAGTGTTTCAAGTGACATTAGTAGTGACTGTGACATGTTGGGAAGCTGGGAATAATGGGGTGACACAGGGTTGGAGCTCCCCTTTCCCTTCCCTCCTTCTGAGCTCTCTCCGTTCATACCCAGCTTTGAAGTCCCCAGTACTAATCAGGACCCCCTTGCTCTTCCATTCCTGAGAATGCATGTCCACCCCCTTCTCCTCATCCCCTCTAGTCCACATGGAACTTCCTGGTTCCCAAGTGAGCTAATCAGCAAAGTTCTGACCCCTGAGAGCAAGGAGGACTTACAGTTCTAGCCAGGTCTCCAAAGGGCCTCTGGTTCTGTCACCTGCCTTCAGTGGGAGCCAGATTTGGGTAGAAAACACAAACTTGAGACTAAAGAGGAAGTGGGGGAATTGTGGGCGTATTAAGGAGAAATGAGCAAGACTCTTACTTCACTATGGTTTCCTCCTGGGCTTTCTCAGCTTTCCTCACCCCGGTCTTCTGAGGCAGGAGACTACAACATCTCTGTGAGCCTTTATCTAGTTTAGAAGCCTAGAACCAGAGCCTGTGCTGGGGGAGCCACAGGGCCACACAGACCTTGCTCAGCTTCCTTCTTGTCCTCAGTGTTCCAACTTCCTCAGCAGTTCACACTGCACAGGCTGTGGGGGCTGCCTGGACCCTGCCCTGACCTGGTCTCCTCTCCTCAGAGCATCCCTACCTCCTTCCCTGCTTGCTCCCCTCCAGCTTGAGAAGAGGACCTATGGCCTGGGAGGCCACATACCTGCTATCCCCCATCCTGCTGGTGCTCCTGGCCTCAGGTGAGGACAGGGGACAAGGATAGAGGGAAGGAACCAGGGACAGGAGAGGGAAGGGGCTGGGAGGTGTGCAAAATGGGGCTCTATGGTTGGGAAGGCAGAGTACAGAATATTGTGTCCAGCAACTGGCATAAGCCACACCCTGAGTATAGACACAAAGAGGTCAGTCCCTGAGGAGAAAGCCCAACTCCTAGCCCTGTTGTGGAGGCTGAGAGGACTCTCTAACCTGAAGGGTGTGTGTTTTCTCAGGCTCCTGGGCACAGGATGCAGAGTTACTTCCAGCAGTGGAAGGCCAGACAATATTTGTGAAATGCCAGTATAATAGCAGCCAACACTCCAAGGAGAAGATTTGGTGTCAGAAAACATCAACAGAAAGTTGTAAATCATTAGTGTCCAGTCTCAGCACAGATAAACAGTGGCCAAAATTCTTCATCCGGGAATATCCAAAGTCTCACTTCTTCACTGTCACCATGACTACACTCACGGTGAGAGACTCGGGTCTCTATGTCTGTGGGATCTCTGGAAATAGCAGAGAAATCATTATCCTCAAAAGCATCTACCTGGCAGTGTCAAAAGGTGAGCATCCCCCTTCTATGTGACTCTCAACCTTCCTGAGTCACCAGGATCCAGAGTTGGAGAGGACTCTAGAAACTGTGTCCTCTAGTAGCTGGGCAATGGGGCTTGAGTTCCTTGCTGTGAGGGACGGTACCCTGAGCTGTGTCCTACAACAGACTCTGGACTAGGAAAGCAGCTGAATGGTTTAGACTGGACTCAATGAACCATACTATTAGGGAGAGTGGTGCTGGGATGATTTGTACTGTGTGGGCCTGGATCAAGAGACTTCAGAGGAGAGGTATATTAGTGTGTGGCCTAGAGATCATTTTTGTGATATTTTGTTGAAAATTGGTTGCTTTTTGCTCTTTTCTAAAAGAAAATCTGCCTGAGGCTAAAATAGAGAGCTATGGATTAACAGTTTTGGCAGGGGATTTTCAGACAGTCTAGTGCTAACAGTGCTGTTTGGGTGCCAGTGTCCACACTGTTGCAGATCTGTACTGAACAGGAGCAAACTGAGCAGGGAAAAATACTAAATGTACAGTCTGAGGAGAGAGGAGACACCAGGAAAGGGAAACAGATTAAAGAAAAGCCTGACTCTAAGTAGAATAAAGACCCCACCCAGCTAAGATTCCAATTTGTGAAAAGGGATTAAAGAAAAGTGGACAAGGACTGGTTAAGATGGCCCACACCTTTAATCCCAGCACTCAGGAGGCAGAGAGGTAGATGTCTGAGTTCAAGGCCAGCCCAGAATGCAGAGGAAGCTCCAAGACAGCTAGGCTTAGGCAGTGAAGAAAAACATGAAGCTCGTGTGTGTGTGTGTGTGTGTGTGTGTGTGTGTGTGTGTGTGTGTAATATAGGAGGAACAAGACCCAGCAACCAGCAGTACTTGGCAGCTTTGGCCACGTGGTTCTGGCTTTAGAGTCAAGGGTACAAGAAAGGGTTGTGGAATCTCCCTCTGCGAATAAGAAAAGCCACCAAGGCCAGATGTGTGGCAGGGAGGTCCTTGTACGGAAGCCTACAGAGGCCATTACATAAAGCTGTGCAAGTTAAGTCCGGTCTTTGAGAACCCAAGGTATTCAAGACAGGGAAGAGGTAAACAAGGAGAGCCGCTAACAGGGAGTGGCCCAGGAAAGAAGTGTGTTACATCAACAAAGCTGAAAGGAGGTGGAGATCTAAAGAGAGCCGTGACATCAGAGGTGCAGAATTTGGAGTTTGTCCAGAGAGTTTTTGATCTATCTTTTCCCCAGTATTTTCTCACTATGCTCCTGTCCTCACTCATACGTTGCTGTATGTTGGAAGTATATAATATACTCTTTATTTTTATCTCACAGTGGTCACAGTTAAGAGTTGTCATGACTGTCTGTAAATATTTTGGACTTTGGACTTTTAAACTGATAAAAAAAAATCAGTTGATAATGATATATTATAAGGCTTTTGAAATTGGACTGACTGCATTTCTGCATTATGGTATGGCTACAAGCCTCTGGGGGCCAGGGAGTGGAATGTGGTGGTTTTAAAAAAAAAAAGGCCCCCATAGGCTCATAGGGAGTGATACTCTTAGGAAGCGTAGAGTTGGTAGAGTAGATGTGGCCATTTTGGAGGAAGTGTGTCACTGAGGGTGGGTACTGAGGTTTCAGATGCTTAAGCAAAACTTGTGTGACTGTCCCCTCTCCCGTTCTCTGTCCCCATCCCTGCCTGTCTCTCTCTTTCTTCTTGTTGCCTGAGAAGTCAGATATAGAACCCTCAGCTACCTCTCTAACACTATATATACATGCATTTCCCTATGATTCCCCCATAGCAATAATGAACAGAACCTCTAGACTGTAAAATAGCCCGACTTAAAGGTTCTCCTTTATAAGAGTGGTCATGGTGTCTCTTCAGAGCAAGGGAATCCTATAGACAGATGATGTCAGAGTGTGGGACATGTTCGTGTAGGGAGACCATGTAGTTCATGTCCTGCAGTACATGTAGGCTGGGCAGATGGCTCAGCGGGGAAAGTGCTTGCCATGCGTGCATGAATCCTGTCCTGAGTTCTCTTCTCAGTACTCATCGCAAAAAGCCTACCGTGGTGACCTGCATTAGTAATGGAGGTGAAGGCAGGTGGATCCCTGGGCCCTTGGCCAGCCAGTCTACACGGAGCAGTGAATTTCAAGGAAAAAGTGAGAAGCTCTGCCAAAAAAGTCAGGTATCCTGAAGAATGGCACCAGAGATTGACCCCTAGCCTCCACACACATGTACACCCTTGCACACATGAGTATCCATATTCACATAACAACACATAACAAGACATGGGGATCCTTTACAAAGTTTGACTTCCATGAACCACGTGTCATGTGACTGTACGGTAAAAAAAGAAAACAAGACCAAATCATGTCAGTTTTAGGCAAACCAGTTCTTCCAGAGCTCAGCTGAGAGGGGAGAGGGAGCTGGATCAGGTGCGGATGCATTGGAGCCCAGGGTTTCTAAAAGCCTGGCTTTCTCCTTGAATCTTCATCTGAGGTCCAGTGCAGAACAATGGTAAGTGGGGTGCTATCCATGAATTCCCTTGGGTAGCAGGGTTCAGGAAACGGCAAACAGTAGACGTGGAACATAATTGGGTTCCATTTCCCAAGTCTCTACTTAGAAGTTGTCTCCTTAGGAAGTTGTTACACTCTACACTTCTCCTCCCAAGATGCCCTTGGTTCCCTCCCTATGGGCTTCTACACTGTGTACCTCAGACCTTGCTGTGGACATGAACCACCGGAACTCCTTATGTCATGCAGACCCTGGCTCAGCAGACCTAAAGTGACACTTGCTTATGAGGAACAAGTGTCTAGGCTCACTCAGTGGGGACCAATGCACTTGTACACCCCATATGAATTTCTGAATACACCTAGGAAGAGCTGGTGCCTTGATGGGCTCTACACCCCCAGTAGGAATAGTGGGTGAACAAGGATGGCAGAGAAAAGAGAAGCAGGCCTCCCTTCCTAGAGCAGGGAGTCTGTGCCCAGCCCAGGCTGAGGCTCACATGCAGTGCAGCAGTAAGGACACCTTAGAGAGGTGACTTACAGAGGCAGAGAGAGCTGTCAGGGGGAGAAGGGGGAGGTGCAGAGCTGGCCAGCAGCAGAGGAGAAGGTTTCCACAGCTCAGACAGCCCGAGGAGTCTTTCCTTCACACCTCTGCGGCCCTCCTCCTTTTCTCCTTTCTCTTGTCTGTCTCTGTCTCTGCTTCAGGCTGACTTCTTAGGATTTTACTAGAAAAATCCTTGCTTCTTGTATAGCCATGTTATTTCCCTCCCCAACTCCACTCCTCTCTACCTATTTAACTATCCATTTATTACCCATCCATCTATCATCGATCCATCCACTTATCCATACATTCTCGGTGTCTTCCTGTAGGTCATCCAACTACTACTGCCTCTGCCATGATTCCAACTTGGACAAGAACCAAAGCTCCCCCGTTTAATACCACAAAGGACCTGAGTACTGTCTTTGCCAGGTGTGTGTGTGTGTAACCATAACCCAAATCAGCTGCTGTTGTTCCCTCTTCAGATCCTTTTCTGGCTACTGGGTTTCTTGTTTGAATACTTTAGTCTCCAGCCCATGTGCTGAGAGGATATGGGGATGAAGATGGGGTTAGGTGGAGCAGGGGCAGACTCAATTCCCCTCAGTCTGTGAAGAATTTCCCTGAGAGGTTAGAAGTGATGACCTACTGGGAAGAGGCTCCCGTCCTCCCTAGCTCACCCCATCCTCCCTAGCTCACCTTCTACTTTCTGTCACACCTGGGTATTAAGAGAAGGGAAGTGGTGTCTTTAATGGCTAATAATCCCGCCAACCCAGGAGTGGGATAGTGTAGTGAAATACTCTCAGTGAGCCTGGGTTCTCATGGCAGGCACATTGTGTGACATCATGCAAGTCGGGAACCTCTGTAGTGCAGGGATACTGGACAGTCAGAGCTGGAAAGTGATCAAACCAAAGGTTTCATTTGGTTTAGTTTGGTTTGGTTTGATAAGATTTCACTGTGTAGCCTTGGCTGACCTGGAACTCTAGGTTGATCAGGCTGACTGCAAACTCAACAGAGATCCTTCCACTTGCCTCTGTTTCCCAAGAGTGGGAATAAAGACATGCTCCCTCATACCTGACCAGCCCCACAACTCTTCCAATTTTGGAGATGATTCTAATTTTTGCATTTCCTTTCATTTTGCTTTGCTTTGCTTTGTTTCTTTAATTTGTTTTCTTTTCTACTTGCGTTCAACACTGGTGTGAGAACCCAACTCTACATTGATGGGGTGTCGATTTCTGCAATGATTCTCCACAGTCTGCTGTTGTTCTTTCTAATGCTAAGAAGGGATATGGGGACCTTACCCATGCTGTGTAGATGTTTTAACTCCAAGCTACATCTGCAGCTGCTGGTCTCAGGATCCTAGAGTAAGATTTTCAGGTTTCTAACCGGCATTTGTGTGAGTCAGCAGCCATCTCTATATTCCTTTTGTCCCTGTGTCCTACCATACAGAGCGCCGTGTCCCCACCTATCTGCCCAGGTCAGGTGGAATCTCTCTCTCTCTGTCTCTCTCTGTCTCTCTCTGTCTCTCTCTGTCTCTCTCTCTCTGTCTCTTTGTCTCTCTCTCTCTCTCTCTCTCTCTCTCTCTCTCTCTCTCTCTCTCTCTCTGTGGACCCCTTTCCTGTGTCTATTGCTGTCTATCTGTAACTTGGAGAAGCATTTTGCTAAAATCATGACAACTCCGCAGTGGGGTTTTCAGTAAGGTTGGATTCTTCTTGGTTTCTGGATGAAGACTAAGGTAGGACAACTGTCCCCAGAAGGAGATGAGAATGGGGACAGCAGGGGTCAGGTTACCTAGATATGGACCTGACGCCATTCCACACAGAAAGTCAAGATACCCAGGTGAACTCCTCCTTATGCATCTACTGGACCTGAACACTAGACTCTCCTGCAAACACATTTCTAATTGGTTATTTAAGGAAGAGATCATCTAAACTGCATCTAAACTTTCTCACAGGTTGAAGAAAAGTCAGGAAGGACCTCAGTTGGAAAGACTGGATGGGGAGGAGTTTCCCAGACTCAGCAGTGTGGGTGGTCATTGATCAACCTTCAGTCTCCTCTCTCCACAGGTTCTCCATATCCAGCATTGTTGTTCTCATAGTCTGTGGACTCCTCATTAAGACCCTTATCTTCACTGTCTTGTTTGCTGTCACATGGAGGTCATTTGGAGGACAGACAACGACGACACAACGGTGACTTATGACTTTCAGCCCTGTCTATCTCACAGGAGGAGCTGGAGGTGGGTGGGGCTAAGGAGGAACTGTGACAGAATTGAATCTGTAATCATGGGTGACATCTAAGGCCCAGAATGTCCCCTGCAGGCCCTGCCTTTCTCCACAGTCCACCCATCATCTTGGGAATGCGCTCTGTACCCTGAGAAGACAGGAACCAATGCCCAGCACCTCTGGCCATTCTGCCTGAATAGATGAGTTGGACTCAAATAAGACATCCCTGTGCTCCTCCCTGTCACCTTTCATGGGAGACATGAGATTTAGGGGTGACCGCTGCTATTCCTGCCCCTTGTCCTTGCCTTAGAGAGCGCAAATCAAGCCACCTGGGCAGGCCCTTGCTTATGAAGCAGCCTGCTCTCCCAGCCTCTAGGGCCTTCCTCTCTGGGAATCAACACTCAGATTTGTCTTCCTCTGTGGTCCTCTGAACACTCCCAACCAAAGACCAAGAAGACAAGATCCCTTCTTGAGGATTATGGAACTGGGAGAGAGAAATCAAGTTAGTTGGATGCTGTTGTCTGAAAAACTCTTGGAGGAGGAGATGGCATCTGTAGGATGGGATCAGGACATGCACCAACATGCTGTGTGCATTTTATCATCGAATCGTCAGTGCCACGCATGACATCCAGTGTGTGTGTGACCACAGGAGGCCACAAGAATAGCAGGCCTCCACCTTCTGGTGGGAATGAAGTCTAGAGAGTTCCCTTGCTGAAGGGCTCCTCAGTTGAGATTCCCTATTTTCAGATATGCCCAGGTTTATGTCAAGTTGATAAAAATCAATCAACACAGGGACCAAATTTTTGGTTCGTGTGCTCTCATTCTCTCTTTTTAAAATTTTTGTAGATTTATTTACTTTATTATGGGTAAGGTGCTTTTATATACACTGTGTGCATGTTTGGTACCCCTAAAGATGGTGCCAGAGAGTGATGTGGATTATTTGTACAGTGTATGAACATGCATTGCTTTGCTATGATTCATGTAATAAAAAGCTCAATTCCAATAGGTAGGCAGGAGATATAAACAGAACTTCCAGGCAAATAGAAAAAGAAAGTGTGATTGTTTGGGGGTTTGTTTTGTATTTTTTATTTACACTTTTGTTCCTTGGGAACCTGACCCCTAGCTCCCAAATAATCACACAGAAGCTATTGTTACATAAAAATGCCAGATCTCAGCATGGCATGTTCTGTTCCAGGTTTTCTTAAATCATGCCATATGTATCTTGACTCTGGGCTTACCATTTTCTATGTCTGTATATCATTTCTTTCTCTCTTATTCTTTGTCTTACTGTGGTGCTGGGTGAGTGACCCCTTGCTTTGTCCTCTCCTCTTTTTCTCATTCCTTCTTTTTCTTTTTCTCCTTCTATTTATTCTCTCTGCTTCGCATTCCCATCTGTACCTTTCCTGACTAGCTATTAAGATCTTTATTAGACAAAACTAGTGTTTTAGGCAGCTTCACAGAGTTAAACAAATGCAACATAAAAGAATGCAATGCATCTTTGCATCATTTAAGCAAATATTTCACAGTATGAACAAATGCAACATATCTTCAATTAATATTCCACAGGAGAGGAGAGTTGAGGTGTATGGAAGATGCTAAGGAGAAACAGAGATTAAACACAGGGTGAAAGATGGAAGAGAAATAATGCCACATTATAAAACAGAGATTAATATCAATGAGTTAATTTAAGCTATAAGAACTAGTTGAGACAAGTGTAAGCTAAAAGCCAAGCTTCCATAATTTATAAGAAGTCCCCATGTCATTATTTGGGAGCTATCTGACAGAACAGAAAAAAGCTCATCACAAGACAGGGCTTCAAATTCCCTGGCACTGGACTTGCAAAGGGTTGTAAGTCCCCTTGTGGATGCTGGGAACCAAAATCAGGTCCTCAGCCAGAGCAACAGTGCTCTAACCACTGAGTCAACTCTCCAGCCCAGCAAAAGGAACCCTTTTCTCCTTCATGTTGAGGGTATCAAACCAACTCAGCTGTTGTCCATGATAAGTAACTATTCTGCCACTGAGGGGACCCCAGCCCTTGTTTTCTTTTTTTAATTTTATTTTAAATCATGTGCATCCAGAAGGCAGAGGTATCTATGCCTGTGAGTGTGCAGGAGCCTGAGGAATCCAGAAGAGGGCGTTAGATCCTGGTGCTGGGTTGCTGCTAATTGGTTTTTGAGATGAACTTGGGTCCTCCGTAAGAATCGTACTCTCTCTTAACCATGGAACCATCTCTCCAGAACCCAATACCTGGGTTTTGTGTGTATGGGGGCGGGGGAGGGGGTTGTTGTTATAGTTTTTGTTGTTTTTGTTTGTTTGTTTGGTTTTTTTGAGACAGGATCTCACTATGCGGCCCAAGCTGGCCTTAAACCCACAATACTCCTGCCTCAGCATATCTGGTATGGGGATTACACCATCACAGCTTGTGGCCCCCATCTTAACTATGAGATTTTATTTTTAAATTGATGAGGTCCCCTTTAAGAACAAATAATCACTAAAGATGTCATACCTCCCTTCCTAGATCTGTTTGGAGAAAAGAGATAAACATTTTCAGTAAAAACCTAGAATTCTCAGGTAGCCAAGGATGACTTTGAACTTCAGATCCTCCCACCACCTCCTGAGTGCTACAATTGCAGGTGTGTGCCACCGTGCCAAGTTTATGTGACCCTGGAGTTTGTAACCAGCACTTCCTGCATACTAGGTAAGTTGTCTACCGATTGATCTATGTCTCCACTATGATTTTACATTGAATATTAATATCTCATATTTATTGAGCACCAAACTTCTCCATACAGTATCTCACAAATCCTCTCAAGGACTTTGCAAGGTAGGTGCTGTCTCTACCTGCAGTTTTGTAAATGACATAGAGAAACTCAGAAGGCCTGAGTGCTCACGGCTGTGCTCACAGGTGTGCTCACAGGTGTGCTCACAGGAGTGCTCACAGGTGTGCTCACAGGTGTGCTAATAGGTGTGCTGTCAGGTGTGCTCACAGGTGTGCTCACAGGTCTGCTCATGGTTGTGCTCACAGGTGTGCTGATATGTGTGCTGAGAGTTGTGCTCATAGGAGTGCTCATGGGTGTGCTAATGAATGTGCTCACGGGTGTGCTCACAGTTGTGCTCACATGAATGCTCATAGTGTGCTCACAGGTGTGTTCACGGGTGTGCTCTTCATGGCTCTCACTATAGTGGCCTGTGTGTGTCACAGTAGCATGGTTTCTTTGGTTTGCCATTTGTTTGGGTTTTGTTTACTTCCTTGTTGCTATGGTAAAAGATGCTAACAAAACAATTTAAGGGTTTATTTTGACTCATAGTTCCAGAAGGGTACAATCATCTCAGCAGGGAAGACACATTGGCAGGTGCAGGAGGCTGGCTAGTCACACTGCCTCTGCACCCAGGAAGCAGAAAAGGAACACAAAGTGGGACCCAACTATACAACCTCCAAGCCTGACTCCAGTGACCCAGTTTCTCTGAAGAAACTCCAACCCACAAAGGTTCCACAAGGGTCCCAAATGTGGGCCGCCTGCCCCCATCACTGGCAGTCCCAGGATCCAGAGGAGCCGGGGAGCAGGGTCTCGGTGTGAGTGCAAAGGGTGTGAAGGGCCCTGGAGACTGTTTCTTAGGACAGGTCTATTAAAATGGCAGGGCCAGCTTATCTATCTGTGGGCACAGGGGAGAAGGAAAATGAAGTCAAGGAAGGAAGTGCTGCAGTGGAGGACTGGGCCCTCTGAGCATTCCAGTCAGATTAGCAGACTGTGTTGCTGGTCACATGATCCCTGAAAAGCCAGTTCTTTAGAGGAGGGAGGGGAGGAAGGACAGGACACAGAAATGAGACTGACTTTATCACGATGTAGCTTTTGTCTCTATGGAGTTCGATTAGGCCCAGTCTTGAATTGGGTAGGTAGAGACCACACTCCTGCCGTGCTCTCTGAGAGATGTCCAGGGTATGGGCAATTCTCCACTGTCCCTCATCTGGCTTGGGAACCCACACCCAAGCAGTACCACCAGCTGGGGACCAAGTGTGCAAACACGCTGGAGAGGGAATGTCTCACATCAAAACTATAATACCTGCTTATCCTGGGGTCCTCACCATGGATAACTGGAGGTCATAGAACAACACTAACAGGGTGTCGTATTTGAACACCTAAGACCCCGCTGAGAACAGAAAGACTGGCTCAGACTGATGACCGGACCTCAGTGTCCTGGCAGAGCCTGGCCGTGCTTCCTGTTCCCCTACAGGAGCCTGACTGTTGACTTGTCTGTGGTCCCAGTGACCCCCTCACGGCCCCCTTTCCAGGTTCCCCACAAGGTGGTCACCCACAGCTCTTGTCTCAGCCTCCTGTCCTGGACCAGTGTGTTCCAGTCCCTCCTGCAGTCATCGCTTCTGTGTGGTTGCTCTCATGGCTTCTCTGCTTTCTCCCCCACCGTCGTTCAGAGAAGCCTCTCTTCTTCAGAGCACAGGAGACCACACTCTCCATCCTGCCCTGAGGCTTCCACACCCACACATTCTCCAGGCCTCAGAGCTACTGGCCACTTTGTGAGCTGCATGGAGAGGTAACCACTTCCTGAGGTAAGGGCCATAGAGACTGGGCACCCCTGTACAAAGCTCACCCTCTTGGTCAGAAGGAGCAGGTGAAGTAACCCTGGGCCACAGTTGTGCCCTCTGCATGGCTGCAGATGCATGCCTGCTCTGCTCTCAGTGATGCATGCTGCCAGGTCTGCACTCAGCATCCTTGGACTTCTTACTCCATGCTGGGAGGGGTGAGGAGGAGATGTCACCTCAGCGAGCAGTTCAGCTGCTGAAAGCCACCTTCCCATGGCCCACGTTCCTCCTAGACACCCCGCCTCGCCACTGACTGACACTGCTCTCTAAAGTCTTAGCACCCTGTGCCAGGTTGGTCAAAGGCTTCCCCTGCCTCTCAGACCTCCTCACACGGGGTCTGGGCTTCCTCACTGCATGTAGAGCCGCACACATCTGTCCCTTTCCTCCCCAGAGTCTTTCTCAAGTCCTGTGCCATCTGGGTCACCCCTGGTCCCCTGGCACCCCAGCTGCTACACAACATTGTTATTTAAAGGAGCTTCCCTGTTCCTATAGTATTTTAATTTTTTGTTTTGTTGTTTATTTTGAGACAGGGTCTCATGTAGTCCAGACTGAACATGTTGTGTAACCAGGGATGAACTTGACCTCACAACCACCAGTCTCCACCTCCCAAGGTCTAGGATTGGCATCACACACCAGCATGCCTGGTTCTCTGCTTGCTCATCTGCTGACTATGAACAGCCTGTAGCTAGTGATTTCTTGGAGCTCATGTAATAACATTTTATTTATTTACTTTAAGTTTTCACGCATGTAGAAGTCAGAGAAGACCTTTTGGGAGTTGATTCTCTCCTTCCCCCATGTGGGCCATGGAGATCAAACCCAGGTTATCAGTCTTGGTAGCAAGTGTCCCTGCCTGCTGAGCCGTCTTGCTGTCCTGTGACAGTTATTTTTGAAATATGCTTGATGAGTACAGTCTTTCAAGTGACATTAGTAGTGACTGTGACATGTTGGGAAGCTGGGTATATGGGGGTAACACGAGGCTGGGGCTCCCCTTTCCCCTCCTCCTTTCTGAGCTCTCTCCATTCATACCCAGATTTGGGGTTTCCCACACTAATCAGGACCCCCTTGCTCTTCCATTCCTGAGAATGCATGTCCACCCCCTTCTCCTCATCCCCTCTAGTCCACATGGGACTTCCTGGTTCCCAGGTGGGCCAATCAGGAAAGATCTGACCTCTGAGAGCAAGGTTGGTTTAGAGTTCTAGCCCGGTCTCTAAAGGGTCTCTGGTTCTGTCACCTGCCTTCAGTGGGAGCCAGATGTGGGTAGAAAACAGAAACTTGAGGCTAAAGAGGAAGTGGGGGGAATTGTGGGCATGTTGAGGAGAAATGAGCAAAACTCTTAACTTCACTATAGTTTCTTCCTGGGTTTCATCAGCATTTCTCACCCTGGTCTTCTGAGGCAGGAGACTACAACATCTCTGTGAGTCTTTATCTAGTTCAGTACAGAAGCCTTGAACCAGAGCCTGTGCTGGAGGAGCCACAGGGCCACACAGGCTTTGCTCAGCTTCCATCTTGTCCTCCAAGGTCCCGACTTCCTCAGCAGTTCACACTACACTGGCTGTGGGGGCTGCCTGGACCCTGCCCTGACCTGGTCTCCTCTCCTCAGAGCATCCCTGTCTCCTTCCCTGCTTGCTCCCCTACAGCTCGAAAAGAGGACCTATGGCCTGGGAGGCCACATACCTGCTATCCTCCATCCTGCTGGTGCTCCTGGCCTCAGGTTAGTACAGGGGACAAGGATAGAGGGAAGGAACCAGGGACAGGAGAGGGAAGGGGTTGCAAAATGAGTTCCTGTGGCTGAGAAGGCAGAACACGTGGAGTATTGTAGTGAGCTGCCGGCTCTAAGACATATTCTGAGAATAGACACAAAGAGGGTCACTGCCTGAGAAGGGAGCTCCTCTCCTAGCCTTGCTGGAGAGACTAGGGTACTCTCTGACCTGAAGGGTGTGTGTGTGTTCCCAGGCTTTGGGGCAGAGAATACAGAGTTATTTCAAACAGTGGAGGGCCAGACATTTTCTGTGGAATGCCGGTATTCTCACAGCCAACAAGTCAACTTGATGAAGGTGTGGTGTCAGCAAACATCAACAGAACGTTGTAAACTGTTAGTGTCCAGTCTCAGCACAGATACCTGGCGGCCAAAATTCTCCATCCGGGACTATCCTGGCTCTCACTTCTTCACTGTCAACATGACTGCACTCACAGTGAGAGACTCGGGTCGCTATTATTGTGGGTTCTTGGACAATCTCGGAATAATCGGTGTTCTCAGAAGGTTCCACCTGGTGGTGTCAAGAGGTGAGCTTCCCCCTTCTATGTGGCTCTCAGCTTTCCTGATAATCAGGCTCCAGAGTTGGAGAGGACTCTCATCACTTCTAATAGCTGATAACTGGGGTACAGGGAAGAACTCCCCAAGGCCACCTGTTGGTTCAGGGCAGAGCCAAGCCTAGAACCCAGGTTTGCTGGTCTCTGGGTAGTATTTACCAGTTATTCTAAACACTGCTGCTGCTGCTAACATAACTCTGTTCATTGAAGGATCTTGTTCTTCCCTCCAGCTGTCACAGCTGCCCACTCCCAAACATCCCTCCCTGCAATCCCATCAGAAACCTTCTCTCCAGGGATGGCAGGCTCCATCACATGAGAGAGACGTGAGGGCAAATGGAGAAGGCACTGAGAATGTGGACCAAGAGGAGACAGCTAAACAGAGAGGCATATGAGGCTTAGAGGGAAGGCTGGGAGATGCGGTCCTCGTCCAGGATCTGCTCTTGATGACTGAGAACCTCTGAGCTCTGGGAAGTTGGCCCAGAGGCTGCTGTAGTGGCCTGAGTCTCCTGTGTATCTCGTGCAATGCATTATTGAGCAATACACATTTCTCTGCTCCCCTTCCTTCCTCTCCCCTCCCTTTCTATCCTCTCCCATGGTCCCCCTGCTCCCAATTTACTCAGGAGATCTTGTCTTTTTCTATTTCCCATGTACATTAGTAGATCTATCTATGTTTCTCTTAGTGCCCTCATTGTTGTCTAGGTTCTCTGGGATTGTGAATTGTAGGCTAGTTTTCTTTGTATGTCTAAAAGCCATTTATGAGTACGGACATATAATATTTATCCTTCTGGGTCTGGGTTACCTCACTCAAAATGTTGTTTCTAGATCCGTCCATTAGCCTGCAAATTTCAAGATGTCATTATTTTTTTCTGCTGTGTAGTACTTCACTGTGTTTATTTACCACATTTTCCTTATCCATTCTTCAGTTGAGGGGCACTTAGGTTGTTTCCAGGTTCTGCCTATAACAATGCTGCTGTGAACATAGTTGAGCACATGTCCTGTAACATGAGGGGCTGGGCCTGCTTGTTGGGGCTCTTGTCCTGCCCTGTCCCCCAGCTATTTAGTCCCAGAGAAAAATCACATTTAAATCTCTGTAAGTTATAATACTGATTGGCCCATTAGGTCAGGCTACTTATTAGCTAACTCTTACATCTTGATTTCCCCATTTTTTTGATCTATTTTAGCCATGTGGCTCAGTACCTTTTTCAGTGGGGCAGTTGACATCCTGCTGCTTCAGTGTCTGGGCAGAAGTCCTTCCTCCTTCCCAGAATTTTCCTGCTCTCCTTGCATCATTTTCACTTCCTCTCTGGTTTTCCCGCCTACACCTCCTGCCTGGCCAATCAGCGTTTATTTAAAACATGATTGACAGAATACAGACACCAAAGACACACAGACAGAGACATGGGTCATCCTTGAAACAAGAATGCCCACTTTATTGTGTACCAGAGCTGCTTATATAGGGATCCTTAACTGATAGCCACGCCCTAGCCAAACCCACGAGAAACCACTCCCCTGCAAGAAACTGCTCCCCTGCCATCAGGAACTCCTGAGGGGCTCCTGCTCAGTGTAGCTACAAACACAGGAAAAACAAGTTGTTTTGCTCAGAGCAGCTGCAAGCATAACAAGTTGTTTACAGGAAATTCAGGGTCTGGGTTCACAGCCCCCAACACTGAGCCAATTCTTTCAAATGTACAGCCCACTTTTTCTTCTGTGAGGTTCAGTGTGGTTTGATTTTATGTTGAGGGCTTTGATCCATTTGGAATTGAGTTTTGAGCATGCTGATAGATATGGATCTATCTTCATTCTTCTGTGTGTTGAAATCTCGTTATTCCAGCATCATTTGTTGAATATGCTTTACTTTTTCCTTTTTATATTTTTTGTGGCTTTGTCAAAACTCAGATGTTTGTAGGTCTGTGGATTGATATCTGGGTCTTCTATTCAGTTCCATTGGTCCTCCTGTCCTTCTTATGCCAATACTAGGCTGTTTTCAGTACTGTAGCTCTGCAGTAGAGTTTGAAGTCAGAGATTGTGATGCCTCCAGAAGTTCCTTTATTGTACAGGATTGTGTTGGCTATCCTGGGGTTTTTGCTTTTCCATATGAAGTTGAGTACCATTCTTTTGAAGTCTGTGAAGAATTTTGCTGGGATTTTGATGGGCATTGCATTGAATCTGTAGATTGCTTTTGACAAGATAGCTATTTTTACTATGTTAACACTACATACCCAAGAACATGGGAGATCTTTCCATTTTCTAGCGTCTTTTCGATTTTTTTATTCAAACACTTGAACTCTTTTCATACATGTTTTTCACTCGTCTTCTTAGAGTTGCTCCCAGGTATTTTATGTTATTTGTTTCTATTGTGAAGGATAATGTTTCTCTGATTTCTTTCTCAGCCCCTTTATCATCTGTGTACTGATGAGAACTACTGATTTTTAGTTAATCTTGTGTCCTGCTACATTACTGAAAGCGTTTATGAGTTGTAAAAGTTCCTTGGTAGATTTTTTTGGAGATCACTTATGTAAACTATCATTTCTTCAGCAAATAGTGAGAGTTTGACTTATTTTCTGATTTGATTCCCCTTGATCTCCTTTTGTTGTCTTATTGCTCTAACTTGGACCTCACATACTATATTTAATAGATAAGGAGAGAGTGGACAACCTTCTCTTGTTCCCGATTTCAGTGGAATAACTTTGAGTTTCTCTCCATTTATTTTGATGTTGTCTGTTGGCTTGTTGTATATTGTCTTTATTATGTTTAGGTAATTTCCTTGTATCCCTACTCTTCCCTGTCAGTAGAGGCTGCTTGTTGGTTTCCAGCTGCTTAGCCCTGAAAATAACCACACAGAAACTGTATTATTTAAAACACTGCTTGGCCCATCAGCTTTACCTTCTTATTGGCCAATGGTTGCATATTAATTTAATCCATTTCTATTAATTTGTGTATTGCCATGTGGCAGTAGCTTACCTCCTAAATTCTGGCATCTGTCTCCAGCAGGGCTACGTGGCTTCTCTCTAACTCTGCTTTTCTTTCTCTTAGCATTCAGTTTAGTTTTCCCCGCATACCTAAGTTCCACCCTGCTATAGGTTCAAAGCAGTTTCTTTATTCATTAATGGTAATCACAGCATACAGAGGGAAATCCCACATCACCTCCTTTTTTTCTGTTTAAATAAAAAAGAAGGCTTCAAATTTAGCATAGTAAAATTACATATAACAAAACAGCTATCATGCAAGAATTACAGCTACCATATTTATATCTATTTTATCTTTTATCATAACTAAGGAAAACTATAACTATAAATTCTTCAACTCCATCAAGACTCCAGAACAATATATTACCTAAGCAAACAATAAGTTCATTGTAAGCAACTTTCAAAACTCTAAAATCGACAGACATCTCGCTACCTGGACAGTCACCCAAAGTTCTTTTGTACCATTGGGGCATCCATCTTCAGCCTACTGGCCCATAGTATCCGGCAGACTTTTTCATGAAGCAGAAAATTTCAAAGACAGGTCTGTCTATATTGGCAGTTTGTTACACTTTCTTCTGTATCCTGCAGAATGTCCTGCAGACTTTTTCATGAAACAGGAACCCTGAAGGATGGTCTCACTTTAAGCAAGTTCAGCAGTCATTTCTCTGTGGATTCTATATGTCCAGTTCACCAAGCAATCCAGGCAAGAGTAGTTTCTTGCTCAAATGGCTAACCAACTCTATAAGAAGCCTGTTTTATGCCAATCATCCTCTTGAAGTGATTGGTACTGCCAGTAGCAGATATGTCTCATTGTCATAAAAAGTCCTAAGTTCTTTAACATTTTAAATGCTATATTCTGTAGTCTTTGAAAGGTTTGAAGACGGCCTATCCATTTGAATTACATCTCTGTACATCTAGAAACATAACTAACATGACTCCAAAATTGACTACTACAGATGACATCTATTACATTACATTTTTAAATGAGCTACACAAACACAATACCTTAATCAAGAGCATAAATATATATACACACTATAAAAAAATTGACCTTAAATTTGTATCAATAAACCAAGATCCATACTCATCATGCAAATCTCTGTAGCACTCTCCAAGATCTACAACATCATGAAGGGATGTTGAATTTTCTCTAAAGCTTTTTCAGCATCTAATGGGATGATTATGTGGTTTTTATTTTTCAGTTTGTTTATATGATGAATTACATTGACAGATTATCATATGTTTAATTATTATTGCATCTCTGGGATGAAGCTGACTTGATGATTGTGGATGATGTTTCTGATGTGTTCTTGGATTTGATTTGCCAGTATTTTATTGAGTATTTTTGCATCAATGTTCATGAGGGAGATTGATCTATAATTCTCTTTTTTAGTAATGTCTTTATGTGGTTCAGGTACCAGGATAATTGTAGCCTCATAAAAAGAGTTTGGCAATGTTCCTTCTGTTTCTCTTGTGTGGAACAATTTGTTCTTTGAAAATCTTAGAATTCTGAGCTGAAGCCCTCTGGTCCTGGCCTTTTTTTGGTTGGGAGATTTTGATGACTGTTACTATTTCTTTAGCAGTCATAGGTCCATTTAATTTGCTTATCTGGTCTTGATTAATTTTGGTAAGTGCTATTTATCCAGAAAGTTTTCAATTTCCTTTAAATTTTCCAATTTTGTGGGCTACAGGTTTTTGAAACGTGACCTAATGACTCTCTGTATTTCCTTTGTGTCTGTTGCTCTGCCACCTTTTCATTTCTGATTTTGGTTAGTTTGGACAAAGGACTTGTTGATTTTCTCCAAGAACCAACTCGTTGTCTCATGGATTCTTTGTATTGTTTTCTTTGTTTCTATTTTGTTGATTTCAGCTCTCACTTTGACTATTCCCTATCATCTAGTCCTCCTGGGTGAGTTTGCTTCTTTTTGTTCTAAAGTTCTGTTAATTCACTAGTGTGCGATTTTTTTTCCAGCTTCTTTTTGTAGGCATTTAATGCTATGAACTTTCATCTTAACACTGCTTTCATTATGTCCTATAAATTTGGGTATGTTGTATGGCCATTTCATTGAATTTTATGAAATCTTTCATTTCTCCCTTTATTTCTTCCTTGGCCCATTGATGTTTCAGAGTAGCATTGTTTAATTTCCATGTGTTTGTGTGCTTTCTGGAATTAGTGGTGTTAATTTGAAGCCATGGTTATCTGATAAGATACATTGGGTTATTCCAAATTTTTGTATCTGTTGAGGTTTGCTTTGTTACCTTAGTATGTGGTCAGTTTTTGAGAAGTGCTGAGGAGAGGATATATTCTTTTATGTTTGGAAAGAATGTTCTACAGATCTTGGTTAAGTTCATTAGAGTCATAACATGTAACATGAGGGGCCCTGCTTGTTGGGGTATTTGTCCCATCCAGTTCCCCACAGCCACAAGTCCCAGACAAATTCAACCACACAGAGATCTCTATAAGCTATAAAGCTGATTGGCCCATTAGGTCAGGCTACTTATTAGTTCTTATGACTTATCTTAACCCATTATTCTGATCTATTTTAGCCATGTGGCTCAGTACCTTTTTCAGTGGGGCAGATCACATCCTGCTGCTTTGGTGATCTGGGCAGGAGTGGGAGGAATCAGCTTTCTCCTTCCCAGAATTCTCCTATTCTCATTGCATCATTTCTACTTCCTTTCTGGTTTTCCCTCCTACACCTCCTTCCTGGCCAATCAGCATTTATGTAAAACATTATTGACAGAACACAAACAATTCTCCCGCACCAATAACATCTTTTAGTTTCCTTATTTCTCTGTCAATTTTTTGTCTGACAGACCTTTCTGATGCTGAGAGTGGAGAATTGAAGAATCCCACTATTAGTGTGTGAGGTTTAATGTGTGATTTAAGCTTTAGAAGTGTTTCTTTCACATATAAGGGTGCCCTTGTATTCAGGGCATAGATGTTCAGCATTGATATTTCGTTTTGATCGATTTCTCCTGTGACTAATATAAAATGTCCTTCTTTGTCTTTTTGATTGATTTTAGTTTGAAGTCTATTTTGTTAGATATTGGGATAGCTACACCTTTCTTTCTAGGTCCACTTAATTGAAAATTTTTTTTTCAACCCTTTACTCTGAGGCAATGTCTGTCTTTAAGGCTGAGGTGTGTTTCTTGTATGCAGCAGAAGGATGGGTTACATTTTCAGATCCAATCTGTCAGCCTGGGTCTTTTCATAGGTGAATTGAGTCCATTTACATCAAGGGATATTAATGACCAGTGATTGCTATCTCCTGTTAATTTAGTTTTCTTTGTCAGCGATGTTATTCTACGTGTGCTTTCACTTCTTTGGGATTTGCTGCTGTGAAATCATAAATTGCCTGTGTTTTTGTTGATGTAGCCAACTTCCTTAGGTGAAGTTTTCCTTCTAGTGCTTTGTGTAGGGCTGGGTTTGTGGCTAGGTATTGGTTAAATCTGATTCTGTCATGGAATATCTTGTTTTGTCCTTCTATAGTGATTGAAAGTTTTGCTTGGTATAGTAGTCTGGGCTGGCATCCATGGTCTCTTAATGTCTGCATAACACTTGAGCAAGACCTTCTGGCTTTTATTTTTTCTTTGAGAAGTCTGGTATAATTCTGATAGGTCTGTCTTTATATGCTACTTGACCTTTTTCCTTTGCAGCTCTTATTATTCTTTCTTTATTCTGGATGTTTAGTGTTTTGATCTTTATGTGGCAAGGGGACTTTTTTTGATTTCACCTATTTGGTGTTCTGTAAGCTTCTTGTATCTTCATATGCATATCTTCCTTATGTTGGAAAGGTTTTCTTCTGTGATTTTGTTGAATACATTTTCTGTAGTTTTGAGTTGGACCTCTCCTTCTTCTATAGCTATTATTGTTAGGTTTGGTGTTTTCATGGTGTCCCATATTTCCTGGATATTTTTTGTTAAGTTTTTGTTAGATTTAATGTTTTCTTTGACTGGTGAGTCTATTTCCTCTATTGTATCTTCAGAGCTTGAGAGTCTCTCGTCCATCTCTTGTATCCAGCTATTTATGCTTTCATTTGTAGTTCCTGACCATTTTCTCATAATCTCCATTTCTATAATCCCTTCGATTTGTGCTTTCTTTTTGTCTCTATTTAAGTTTTCAAGTCTTAAATAGTTTCTTTCTTCTGTTTGATTGCTTTTCTTTTCTTTTCTAAAGAAATTTTATTTCTTCCAATTTTTTATTTGTCTTTCCCTCCATTCTTTGAGGGATTTTTTTCATTTTCTCTTTAAGGGCCTCAAACATTCTCCTAAAGTTATTTTTGAGGTCACTTTCTTCTGCTTCATCTATATTTGGTGTTTTAAGTCTTGCTGTTGTAGGGTCACTAGTTTTTATTGGTGTCGTGTTGTTCTTTGTGATGTTGCATGTGTTCTTACCTTGTCTACCCATCTTTTCCTCTGATTGGTGTAGCTAGTGCTGTCTGTGACCCTGGTGATCAATCTTCCAGGTGCCAGTAGAGTCAATGCTCACAAGGTTGCTCATCGTGGTGTAGTCAGGGTCAAGATTCCAGTCACCCCGTTAGTCACTCTGTGTTCCTGGAGGTCACTTGGCGCTCCGGGAGTTTGCTCTACAATGCCAGGGGTCATTCAGGCCTGTTCCTCCAGAGATTGCTTGTTTGGGGCTCTTTCTGCTGAGCCTTGGACCTGCTCTGGCAGAGGTCTCTGGTTCCTACCTACTCCCTCAGAGGTCCCAGACTCACATCCAGACCCACAGAGGTCTCTGGTTACAGCCTACTCCCTTAGCTATTGCCGCCTTGTACCTACTCCTGTGGAGTTTGCTGTCTCAGGCCTGATCTGGCCAACGTCGCTTGCTCAGTCCAGTTTCTGTAAATGTCCCTGATTCGGGTTCACTCCTTGCCTGACCTTGGTCCTGCAAAGGTTTGTCCAGTTTTTTTGTTTTGTTTTGTTGTTTTGTTTTTCTTTTCTTTCTTTCTTTCTTTTTCTTCTCTCTCTCTCTTTTTTTTTTTTTTTTTTTTTTTTTGAAAAGCATTTCTTCCAGAGCTCAGCTGACATTTCAGGCTGCAGAGCACAAGCTGTGGGAGGGGAGAGGGAGCTGGGTCAGGAGGATGCACTGGAGCCCAGGGTTTCTAGAAGCCTGGCTTTCTCCCTGAATCTTCATCTGAGGTCCAGTCCAGGACAATGGTCATTGGGGTTCTATCCATGAATTCCCTTTGGATAGTAAGGTTAAGTAAAGGGCAATCCGTAGACATGGAACATAAGTGGGTTCCATTTCCCAAATCTCTGCTTAGAAGTTGTCTCCTTAGGAAGTTCCTGCAATCTACTCTCCTCCTCCCAAGATGCCCTTGGTGCCCCCCCAAATGGGCTTCTAAACTGTGTATTCTAAACTGTGTATTCTAAACCTGTGGTCATGAACCACCTGAACTCCTTGTTTCATGCAGACCCTGGCTCAGCAAACCTGAAGTGACACTTGCTTATGAGGAACAAGTGTCCAGGCTCACTTCAGTAGGGACCAATGCACTTACAAGTCCCCCTATGGATTTCTGAATACACCTAGGAAGAGCTGGTGCCTTGCTGGGCTCTACACCGTCAGTAGCAATAGAGGATGATCAAGGATGGCAGAGAAAAGAGAAGCAGGCCTCCCTTCCTAGAGCAGGGAGTCTGTGCCCAGCCCAGGCTGAGGCTCACATGCAGTACAGCAGTAAGGACACCTTAGAGAGACGTGACTTACAGAGGCAGAGAGAGCTGTAAGGGGGAGAAGGGGGAGGTGCAGAGCTGGCCAACAGCAGAGGAGAAGGTTTCCACAGCTCAGACAGCCCAAGGAGTCTTTCCTTCACGCCTCTCCAGCCTCCTCCTTTGCTCCTTCCACTCATCTGTCTCTGTCTCTGCTTCAGGCTGACTTCTTTGGATTTTAGTAAAAACATCCTTGCTTCTTAAATAGCCATGTTCTTTTCCCTCCCCAGTTCACTTCTCTTCTCCTGCTCATCTATCCATCCATCCGTCTGTCCATCCATCCATCTTCTGTCCATTACATGTCTGTCCATTTATCTCTCTACACCATGTGTCTTCTCGCAGATTCTTCAGATGCGTCCACTTCTGACATCATAACTACTATACACCCAATTGAAGTTCCCACTCTGATAGCCACAAAATACCTGCGCAGAAACAGGACTATGACCCCATCCGCAGCTGCTGTCTCTTCTGACATCATAACTACTATACGCCCAACTGAAGTTCCCACCCTGATAACCAAAAAATACCTGCGCAGAGACAGGACTTTTACCCCATTCACAGCTGCTGTCTCTTCTTACATCATAAGTACTATACTCCCAACTGAAGTTCCCATCCTGATAACCACAAAATACCTGCCCAGAAACAGGACTATGACCCCATCCATAACTGCTGTCTCTTCTCCTGACCCTGGAGTCACCTACACAAATGTGACAAATGTTCCCAGGTATGTTTTCTGGGTTCCTGGTTTGGACACCCTTTATCTCCTGGTCCATGTGCTGAGAGGATGAGGAATGAAGCTGTGGTGGGCTGGAGCAGGAGCGGACAAGTCTGTGCAGAAATTCCCAGGGAGGGAAGAGGTGGAGGCTAAGGAGGAGGAGGCTCCCGTCTGTGACAAGTGTGGGAAGGTAACAGCATATGATGAAGCCTTTCTTCATAGCCAGGCTATGGGACTGAAAGAAAGGGGTCCCTTTATCCCTTTGAGGATATATGAATGGATAGATGACGGACGTGTATGGAGGGATGGTGGAATAGATGGCAGACACTGGAATAAATGGTTGGATGAATTGATTGACACTGTCTTACTAGGCCTGCTTACTTCATGTTCATGGTTATTTCATTCTGCATCACATGTAGTTTAATAATAATATTGTACTCTTAGTGCTGGAGATGGAACCCAAGGCCTCATGCATCCTTAGCCCATGCTCTGACTTGCACACGCAGCCCCAGTAGGAACATTTTAAAATGCTGGACTCAGGTTGGCCAGCCTGCAGTAGCACTGCCTCATGCATGTGCCATGAATCATCCACAAACTATAATATTCAGACGATGCCCCATACATGTGACCATATGCAGAGTGGCATAAAAGCTCATGAAAACTGTACAGAGATAAATGATTTAAACATAAGAGATTATCCAGCCAGCAGTGGTATACACCTTTAATCTAAGTACTTGAGAGGCAGGTGGATCTCTTGAGTTCAAGTTCAGCCTGGTCTACAGAGCAAGTTCCAGGACAGTCAGAACTACACAAAGAAACCCTGTCTCAAAAAACAAAAATAAATAAACAAAAATGGACTGGAGAGATGGCTCAGCAGTTAGGAGAACTTGCTGCCCTTACAGAAGACCAGGTTCAGTGCTGAGTGCTCTTGTCAGCCAACTCACAGGCGCTTATACAACTAGTTCCAAGAAATCTGCCTCCCTCTTCTGGCCTCTGTGGTCACTGCACTCACATGCACAAAGCTGCACACACATACCATTACGTACACAGGAATAAAAATAAAGATACAACTTTTAAGAATTCAAAGCAATGTCAATGACTAATAACAGACAAATATTGTGCTTTTCTGGCTGATGGGAAATTGTACATTCAATGAAATTACAATGGTGGAAACTAGGTACTGATTTTGGAGGGCAATCTTAGCAGGGAAGATGATGTCAGGTGAATAATTAGAATTAGTGCCATGCTAAGGTGTGATAACCATGAATAACGACTAGACAAGACTATGAGGAAGCACCTTAGATTAGCTTGGATGAAGGAAACAATTTATTCCTCTAATTTAGGATTTGGATGAAGGTAGATCCTGAGACACACTGATTTGCAATAGTGACGTAAAGAGGGGCATGTATGTCAAGTCAGTGAGTTCAAACGTTGCCTGCTGCTGAAGTTTGGATCTGATGGATTGTGCAAAAGTCCAAGTATTAAAGGCTTGCTCACCAAGTGGAATCTGGAAAGTAGCAGAAATTTCGAAGACTCTGTGTACTCAGTGTGGCCTCTGTATGACTCATTGTCACCTACTATTTTTGTCCCTGTGTCCTACCATGTAGAGCACCATGTCCTCACCAACTGGCCCATCTGCCCAGGTCAGGCAGAGGTCTCTCTCTCTCTCTCTGTCTCTCTCTCTCCTGGATGGGCCTCTTTCTTATGTCTACTGCTGTCTACCTGGAACTTAGAGTTCGTTTTGCTAAAATCATGACAACTCTGCAGTGGGGTGTTCAGTAAGGTTGGATTCTTCTTGGTTTCTGAATGGGGACAATGAAGACTAAGGTAGGACACTGTCCCCAGAAACAGGTGAGAATGGGGACAACAGGGGTCAGGTTCCCTAGATGTGGATCTGACGCCACTCCACACAGAAGTCCAAGATGCCTGAATGAACTCCTGATTATGCATCTCTGGAACCTGAACCCTAGACCCTCCTGCAAACACATTTCTAACTGGTTATTTAAGAAAGAGATCATCTAAACTGCATCTAAACTTTCCCACAGGCTGAAGGGAGGATCTAAGTTGGACAGATTGGATGGGGAAGAATTCCATAGACTCGGCAGCTTGGGGAGTCATTGATCAACCTTCAATCTCTTCTCTCTGCAGGGTCTCCATATCCAGCATTGTTGTTCCTGTGGTCTGTGGACTCCTCAATAAGACCCTTATCTTCACTGTCTTGTTTGTTGTCACATGGAGGTCATTTGGAGGACAGACCATGAAGTCACACAACAGTGGCCTTTGATTTTAAGCCATGTCCTTTTCAGAAGAACTGGGGGTGAGGGAGGGGCTAAGGAGGGACTGTGACATGAAGTGAGCCTGTAATCATGGATGACATCTAAGATCAGAATTCCCCTGCTGGCCCTGCCCACTCCCCTCAGTCCATCTATCATCTTGAGTATGTACTCTGTACCCTGAGAAAAGGAATAACGGTGCCTAGCACCCCCTGGCTATTCCACCTGAAAGGATGAATTAGCCTGAAATAAAGAAAGAGTCCCGTGCTCCTCCTTGTCACCTTTTGTGGGAGTCGTGAGGTTTAGGGATGACTACTGCTATTCCCTCCCATTGTCCTTCCCTTGGATGGTGCAACTCTAGCCACCAGGGCAGGGCCCTACTTATGATGTTCTCCTGTCCTCTAGGGCCTTCCTCTCTGGGAATCAGGCATGTAGGTTTGTCTTCCTCTGTGGTCCTCTGAACACTCCCAACCATGGACCAAGAAGAAAAGATCCTGTCTTAAGGATTATGGAACTGGGAGAAAGAAATCAAGTTATGCTGGATGTCGTTGTCTGGGAAACTCTTGGAAGAGGAGATGGCATCCGGAGGATGGGATCAGTACATGCATCAACATGCCATGTGTGTTTTCTCATTGACTCCTCAGGGCAGCCTGTGAAGGCTGAGGTGTATGTGACCATAGGGAGACCATAGGAATAGCAGGCCGCCACCTCCTGGTGGGAATGAGGCTACAGAGTTCCCTTGTAGAAGGGCTCCAAAGTCAGGGAGATGGAGAGCCAGGGCTCTGCTTTCAGCTGAATGTCCTCCTTCTGGACTGAGACAGGGCAGGCATGGTGGGAGGCAGGACCCCATCCCAGGCTGGGGAGGCTGTCCCCAGTGTGCCTCTACCTCCCTCTCACCTCTAGATCTCCTTCCAGGTGCCCTGTGGCCCCAGTGCTGATTCTGGGACACACAGGCATTTTCTTGTTTTCTATCTCCTTGGGTGAGGAAAGGATGGAAGTTAGCTCATCCTACTTCAACAATGCCTGGGACCAACTTCATCCTAAGCTTCCCGAGAGCAAACACATCTCACCACATAGCATCCAGCTCACTTGATCGCAGTCAGAGGCTGAGAAGTGGCGGTTCCACACATCTCAGGTCGGGAAAACACATTCCTGGCAGGGAGACTTTCCCCGACTCCCGTGAAGAGATCCCAAGTCTTAAAGCATGCTTCTATCACAGAAGGACGTTTCCCTGTGAACATGGCTCTCTGTATAATCCCTCCCTGGGCAGCACTGACGAGGTACAGGGCATTACCAATCCTACAGTCTCGTCTGTTCAGAGAGGCCTCAATGGAATTCACTTTATCTTGATGCTCTGGCTCGAGTCTTGGAGGATTGATCCAGAAGTCAATCATCTCAGGAGGTTTGTTTTCTGTCTAAAAAGCCAAGCAGGATGCTGTGGTCCAGTCAAGGCAAAGGCGGTGCAGTGCTTGTCACGGAAGCTTGAGGAACAGAGTTCCACCCACAGAAACCACGTGAAAAGTTGGTTAGGGTGCAGCAGGCATTAAACCTACATCTTGAGAGGCAGATATAGGTAGTTTCCTAGGTGTTGTTGGTCAGACACCTAGTGTGCTTACCAAGTTCCAGGCTAATCAGAGACTCTGGAAAAAAAAAAGCAGATGGCTTGAAGAATGACATCCAAAGTTGAGCTCCGGACTCCACAAGCACTTTCACAGAACTGCCTGCACGTGCGTTCGTTAGAACACAGGGAAATTGAAGAAGACACCAGAGACACCTCCTGTGCACATAGATTGGTAGAATTCGCGTGGTGAGCACAGCCATTTTACCAAAATCAATCTATATATTGAATGCAGTCCCTGTCAAAAGTCCAGTGTAGCCCATCACACAAATTGAATAAACAGTCATATGGAAGCGTGAAAGACCCTGATTAGCTGAAACAATCCTAAACGATAAAAACACAGCCAGAGGTATAACCATTGCTAAGAGCAAGCTATACTACAGAGCCATAGTACTAAAAACAGCATGGTGCTCGCATAAGGAACTAGATATAAGTCCACACACATATCGCCACCTGGGTTTTGACAAAGATGCCACAAACATACATTCAAGAAAAGACAGCATCTTTAACAAATGGTGTTGGGGAAACTGGTTATCTACAGGTAGAAGAATGAAATCTGATTCTTCTCTCACTCTGCACACATGCAAACCAGTTCCAAACATATCAAACATCTTGATATTGAATCCAAAACTCTGAAACTTTCTATATGAAAGCATAGGGTGAACACTACAGGATATAGACTCAGGTAAGAAATTTCTGGATAGGAAAACTGTTGGGGTAATTTTTTGTGCACTGGGATTTGCCTCACTTGCCTAAAACACCTTCAACTGGTTCAATAAAGAGCTGAGCATTCGATAGCTAGACAAGAAAGAATAGATGGGAATCTGGGCAGAGATAGGAACTCTGGGAAGAATCTGAGGCATGTGAGTTCGCCAGACAGTCACAGAGGAAGTCAGACATATAGTATTGAGGAGAGGAAATGAGCCATGTGGCTGAATGTGGATTAATATAAAAATGGTTAATTTAAGTTTTAGGAGCTAGTTGGGAACAAGCCGAGGCTAAGGCCAACATTTCAAATTAATAAAAAGTCTTGTGTTGTTACTTGGGAGTTTGATGTCCAAAGAAAGATCCTCTGAAGAAAACAGGGCCAATAAACAGCATGGGGAGCCTTGTGGAGTGAAAGAGCTCCTTAGCAGAGAAGGAAACTATTGACTGAAGAGACAGCCTACAGAATGGGAAGCAGTCAATGCCAGCTATGCATTGTCTTGGGATTCTGGCTCCAATATACAGAGAACTACGAAGGTAACAAACAACCCAACTCAAAAGTGGGAAGTAGAATTAAATAGCGAGTTCTCCACAGAAGCGTAAATGGCTACAAAATATTTTTAAGATTTTTGTTACCTTCTTTTTTAACTTTTATTGATTCTTTGTGAATTTCACATCATGCACCTCAATCCCACTCATCTCCCCATTCCTCCATATCCACCCTCTGCTCTTGCAACTTCACTCTCAAAAGAAAGCAAAACACAACAACAACAACAAAAAGATTTGAAAAACTCTCACCTTGGAAGCTGCAGTGTGCCGTGGTGTGTCACCCAGCCTGCGCTTTGGCTCAGACAGCTTTGCTTGCCCAAGTTCATTGCAGTGAGTCTGCTCCCAGGCCTCTGGCTTCTGCTACACTATTAATACTGGATCCTCACTGGAACTCCTCTCAGATAGCCTGCTGTTGCCCTTTGCCATGCCTTGGTTCTGCAGGAGTAGCCCCTCACACACCACAGCAGTTCATGGATGGGTTAGATGTTGGCGGTGGGCCAACACAAAGCCCTGGAACTCGGACTGGGTAGAAGCTTTGTCAGCTGGTCCCCCCACCCCTGCACCTGTGCCCCCAGGACCAGCTCCTGTGTTTTGCCCAGGTGAGAGGTGGGGCCAGCTCTCCTGCATTCATGCCTTTGAGGCTGGCTCACCCACACCCACACCACCACAGCCAGCTCTCCTGTGCTGCCCAGGTGAGGTACAACCTCCTACCCCCTACTGCATGCTGCAGTCAGCAAGGGGTGGGGTCATCTTTCCTGCTCTCAGGGACCAGCTCTCCAGTGGCCACAGGTAGTGAGAGGTGGGTTGGGGGCATTTTTCTGACCCACCACACACAGCCAATGAGGTTCAAGCCTGCTCTCATGTCTTCCAGGTAGCTTTTCCACACTGCCCAGGAGAGGGGTGGGGCCAGCTCTGTGCAGTCCTAGGACATCTACATAGCCCCAGTAGGCAGCCCAGACCAGAGATATCAGCGTGGCCTTTGGTGGTAACAGGGGCCACAGACATCGACCCAGACCCATGCTGCTATAGTGACATGGACCTAGACATGGCCCTCAGCGGCAGCATGAGCAGAGCCATCACTATGTCCTCAGATGGCAGTGCATGCTCCTCCATCAGACTATTCCTCAGCACCCTCGTGTCTCCAGTTCTGCCTGTCTTTGGTGCACAAACACTTCCCCTTCTCTTTCTCTCCAGCTCTCTATCACATTCTTGCTCATCATAGTGGCTCTCACCTTGCCTGTGCCATGAGGCTGCAGGCAGGTTCCTCTCCAGTGTCTCATGTCCACCCGTGCCATGTGGTGGTGGGCAAGAGGCCCCAAGATTTTATTTTTGTTTTCAATTATACATATGTATTATCTGTGTGTCAGTATGTTTTATTTTCAATGATGCATATGTGTTATCTGTGTGTCAGTATGTTTTATTTTCAATAATGCATATGTGTTATCTATGTGTCAGTATGTGCACTGAGTGCAGTGTCCACGGAGACCACAAGAGGGCATGGCATCCCCTGGAGCTAGAGTTACAAGCAATTGTGAGCTACCCAGTGTATGCTAGAAACTGAACTCAGTTCTCTGTAAGAGCAGTAAGTGTTCTTAACCACTGAGCCACCTCTTCAGCCCACTGCAACACATTTTTACAGTGTTCAAAATCAGTAGCTACCAGGAAAATGCAAATGGATTTCTTCTTGGCTCAGTCACAAGAGCAAAGATTAAGAAAGTAAATGTAGGTAAATGTATGGGGAAAGAGGAACTTTCATTGGCTATGGAGAGTGTCAACTGCAGTGGTTACTGTGAGAACTAGTGTGGTGTCTCAAAAGGCTAGAAATGCATGTGCCATGTGGCCCAGCTATGCCATTCCTGGCCATAGACCCACACCATGCTGCTAAACTACAGAGACTCGGGCTCGTCACTCATCGCTGCTCCCTTTACAGCGCTAGGACACAGACACAGCCTGGAAGTCAGTCCCCTGATGGGCGGTAGTAAGTAGTGGGGACTACATACAATGGAACTTCATTGTTACAGAGGAGAATTAAAGTGTTAAATTTTCAGGTAGATGGGTGGAACTGGAAAAATTAATGCCAGGTGAGGTAACCCAGGCCCAGAGAGACAAACACTGCATGCTCTCTCATAGGTGGAGCCCACTGTCAATTCTTTTGAATTGTATGTTCAACTTGAAAGATCTGTATAAGCCAGGAAGTTAGCAGCCTGGGGGTGAGGGGGAATAGGCTGTGGGAGAGGGGACAGTAGAACACAGGCTACAAAGGGAGAGAGGAGGTAACAGGAGGTTAGGTGAGGAAGGAAATAGGAGTGGGGGAAGTATAACTAACACTAAGGATATTTGAAAAGTAAGTATTGAAGCCTACTATTTTATAAAAGTATGCACATACACACATACA